ATATAAATACATTTAGACCACTTAACTTAATGATTGCTATCGGGATGTGAAGAGACTTTCAACCAGCATAACAAAAAACGTTTCTGAAGACAATCACCTATTGCACCTTTAATTATGATGATCATTTGTATTCAGCCGCAAACATGAGGTGAGAGAGAGCGCGGGCACAGATGTGGGAATGGTGCGTCACATGTGCTTATACTGCTTACTGCGTTCATCATAAAATGCATTTTTTATAATTATGTATATATAATATATACGTTAATGTTTAGATTTTTATTTATGTATATGTTCATATTAATATAGAACGAAAGTGTTTTTTTTTTTTTGAGCAACTGGGATGGTGCCCCCCTGGGAGTTGGTGCCCTACCAAACTGCGTACTCTGCGTATGGGGAGCGGCGGTACTGGTTGTAAGTCTCTCACCTTTGGGTATGAATATGTTAATCATTAGGCTGATTCCAACAAATAGCAGTGATCCAGCCTGAGTTATGCATCTTCCAAACTTATCCAGCAAGTAAAAGATGCTAAATTTAGCAGGAATTTCAATAGCTCCATACACAAACTGAGTGAGGTACATACAGTGGGTACGGAAAGTATTCAGACCCCCTTAAATTTTTCACTCTTTGTTATATTGCAGCCATTTGCTAAAATCATTTAAGTTAATTTTTTTTCCTCATTAATGCCAAAGCTTGAAATGTTGAAACTAAGTCCATAGGCAACAGTGGCGACAGAAAACCGTCCTTTTATAAACGTATAAACGCCCTTTTACTGATGGAACAGTGGCATGTGTTTGTGATTTGATAGTTCAGTACGCACCAGCTGATTCCTGTGAGTAAAGCCAGTCTCCTCATAGGGGTCCTGACCAGATCCAGGTATGAATACTTGCTGTTTCCTCTGTCAGTAACTATGATTTTAGCCAAATTCTAGAGAAAGACAGAGAGGAAAACAAATATGTTTAAATGTATGTTAGCAAACTACGCTAAAGTAAAAGCAAGAAAACAAACACAGTACCTGGCCCCTTTTACTTTCTCATTGCATGTTCCTAAGATTATTTGAGTCTGTGCATGTTATTCTGAAGGAAAAAAATATGGATTTGTAATCTTTGTAGTAAATTGCTCTTCATCTACAAACAAGTTTTCTACTGACATTTCTCCATAGAGTCCATGGAACATTGGGTAATGTTAGCCAATAAAGGTATTTAGATCCTGTTTCAGAAAAACTGGGTTGTTGTTTTATAGTATGTGACAGCCAGTTTTGACCATCCAAACAATTTCTGATTAACAAAAACTCAGCATCTATTTTCAAAAAGCATGTTGTAGATCTTACTGTGAACAATTTATCCATGCATGTGTTAATTTTTTATTTTATTTTATTTTATTTTATTTTATTTACCTTGCTATTTTTTATAAATTTTTCATGACTTGATTTTCCCGTGAAACGACAGACTTCTCTCTGGTGACATATGTCTGACTTCTCCATCATCTGTCTGCTAAAACCCTGCCCTTTTCTTACAGTTGACTGCAAGCTGGCATTCAGATCTGCCTCCATCCAATCAACAACTGATGGATAGAACCAAGCTACATTTTTTTTTCAATAATCTGTTTCTAAGGAGGGAGAAAGTTTGCTATACTGGGCCATTGTTAAAAAATATATATTTCTGGTATTTTAAAATAAATATTTTTTTCACTGATATTTTGGATTTCCTTCTGGAAATTAATTGAGATTCTTTCAACTCAGGTTTTATGTTGGCAATAATTTCCTTTTTACGGTTCATGACAGCACATTTATGAAGATAATAATGAGCTTTATCCACCTTCCCATTAGCTATCAGCCACCACGCTGACTGTGGAACCCACCTATAACAATATCAAAATTCATATTTATGAAATGTTAATTATTTTATATTGAGAACGTGCAGCATGTACTCTGACCTACAAGCTACTTTTTGAAAAAGGCATATTACATGTACCAAATGATTTTCAGATGTTTTAATGACCTCTGATTAGGTTTGGTTTGTTTATACTCACCACCAAGTGATTATGACAATAACAGTGGGCAATGAGATGGCAACCATCAGCCATCTCCAGTCTCGAATGAAGTATGCAATCAGTGAAAAGCTCATGAAGGCAAATGTCCAAGAGAGGCTGTCAATCACCCCTACCAGCTTTCTGTGTTCAATGCTCACCCACTCCACATCTGATGAAGAACAAATCAACAAAAGAACGTATACACACACTCATCACTTTGACAATTACAGTGATCTTCATTTTAGAAACCTTACTGTGTGCTATTTTAAAGCCACAATAATTCTAAAAACAAAACAATTTAAAAAGAGAGCGATTCTCGCTGAGTATAGTGGAGATGATGACACTGCCAGTAATGGTGAATCCAGTGAAGAATCTCAGCACTGCAAACATGATGAAGGAGAAGGAAAAAGCACTACACAATCCAAAACCCATTCCTAACATATGCGACAACAGCAGCATTGACTTACGCCCAAACCTGTGCAGCAACAGACATGTATCCATTTAGAAAGTGCAAGTGCAAAAACCAAAAATACCTCTTGTGAAAGCTATTGATTAGATTCTTTGGAAAAATGCCCAGTGTTTTTAATTCAACTGAGATTAATTTAAATAGAAAGTTTCCCAAAAATGTAAATGATGTTGTCCAAACATGTATGATCTTTCTTTCTTCTGTGGAACATAAAAAAAAAATCTGTGTTTTTTGTCCATATAATGGAAATCAATGGTGACCAAAACTGATGGTTAGCAGCATTCATTTCCTTTGTATTCCACAGAAGAAAAAAGGTAATACAGGTTTGGAACAACATGAGGGTGAGTAAATTATGACAGAATTGTCATTTTTGGGTGAACTATCCCTTTAAGCATCTGTATGGTGGCCGAGAGAGCTCAACGCGCTGCAACTTCAGAAAACACATGCAAATAGAAAAAGCACCAGCAAATCAAGAAAACATCTTCATCAGTTTGACAGCAGGTGCTGCAAATGCTCACAATGCAAACAAATAAAGAAACGCGCTGCAAATGCTCACAACACAACTGTAGGGATTTCTTAATACCACAAACCACAGGACTGTGATATGCCACTGAATCGACTCATCATGAGGCTTCGAATTAATTCAATCAGGAGACAACAA